AGAGTTCAACTCTCACCTAAATATAGTTTTAAATAAATTGAGCACTGGCAAGACTGTCAAAGAATTAAAAAAAAAAATACATTCATATAGCTTACTAGTATATGTATTTGTAATATATTGTTTAATTGATTCTGTTTTAACCTTATTAGCTTCCAAAAATTAAAGTTGATTCCATTATCGTTTTCCAGATCTATTTCATCCAACCAATGAGCGATTGTCAATAACTTCAGTTGCATAGGTTGTTTATCAAAATCTTTATCAGGTTCTAAAAATTTAGATCTTAATCTACCGAAATTCTTGATACAAAATCACTATTAAATAGAATTCTCCGGGACTGTAAATACCTGATGCTTGAGTATATAGTTCACAATCTTAGGTGCCATATACATTAAAATTTTACAAATTATATATAATTTAATTAGTTTAATTTGGAGTACTAATATATTCATATAGCTTACTAGTATATGTGTCTGTTAATGTATTGTTTAATCAATTCTGTTTTAACCTTATTAGCTTCCAAAAATTGAGGTTGATTCTATTATTGTCTTCCAGATCTATTTCATCCAACCAACGAGCGATTGTTAATAACTTCAGTTGCATAGGTCATTTATCAAAATCTCTATCGAGTCCTAAAAATTTAAGTCTTGATTCACTGAAATTCTTGACACAAGATCACTATTAAACAGAATTCTCTAAGACTGTAAATACCTGATGCTTGAGTATAGTTCACAATCTTAGGTGCCATATATATTAGAATTTCACAAATTTAATTAGTTTAATTTAGAGTACTAATACATTTATATAGCTTACCAGTATATGTGTCTGTGAATATATTGTTTAATCGATTCTGGTTTAATCTTATTAGTTTCCAAAAATTAAGGTTGATTCTATTATCATCTTCCAGATCTATTTTATCCAACTAATGAGCGATTGTCAATAACTTCAGTTGCATAAATCATTTATCAAAATCTCTATCGGGTCTAAAAATTTAGGTCTTGATCTACTGAAATTATTAATACAAGATTACTATTAAACAGAATTCTATAAATGCTCTTTGCCTGGTTGAAATCTTAGTTACAATAACTCTAGAACTGTAAATACCTGATACTTGAGTATATGATTCACAATCTCAGGTGCTATATATGGAATTCCACAAATTAATTAGTTTAATTTGAAGATTTCTACAGTACTAATACATTCATATAGCTTACCAGTATATGTGTTTTGTGAATGTATTGTTTAATCAGTTCCGGTTTAACTTTAGCTTCTAAAAATTGGAGTTGATTTCATTATCATCTTATAGATCAATTTCATCCAACCAACAGGTGATTATCAGTAATTTAAGTTTAGATTGTTTATCAAAATCTCTATCTATATACTTCATAACTAATTTAATATAATAATCAGATTCTAAAAGTTTAGGTCTTGATCCACCGAAATTCTTAATACAAGATCACCATTAAATAGAATTCCATCAAATGCTCTTTGTCTGGTTGAAATCTTAGTTACAATAACTCTGGGACTGTAAATACCTGATACTTGAGTATATGATTCACTATCTCAAGTGCTATATATGGAATTCTACAAATTATATATATTTGATTAGTTTAATTTTAAGCTCTCTACAGTACTAATATATTCATTAGCTTACTAATATATGTATCTTGTGAATGTATTGTTTAATCAGTTCTGGTTTAACTTTAGCTTTCAAAAATTAGAGTTTATTTCAAATGCTCTTAGTCTAATTAAATCTTAGTCATAATAACTCTGAGACTGTAATACCTGATACTTGAGTACATGGTTCACCACCAAAATCTCAGATGCTACATATGCTAGAATTCTACAAATTTTATTTTTTGAATGTCCAAGATTAGTAATATATGCATTATACAAATGAGTTTGCAAGTATTTTTGTTGTGTAAAATCTTAAAGTTTAAAGCTTTATCATACAAACTGTTTAATTTATTTTTCTATTCCAATTTGTATGCAAGATTTTGTTGTAGCGAATCTTTCAATTTGTATAGCAATAATATAATCGCTATAATCATTTCCAAGCTTATATTTGCATAGTGCAACATAGGTAATAATGATCTTTGAAGCCTGCTCTTGAAGCGTAGCAAGCCTAAAAATAAAAAAAAAAATACCAAATTTTTATTATAAAACAGAGTAAGAACAATATATTATTAATTGCCTTGTAATCTAATTAATAAAGTTTATTATAGTAAATGCTGTGTGCTTACAAAGCAAAATCTTTTAAAAAAAAAGAGTAGTATTTAATAAATTTATAATTAGAAACTTTAGATTTCGTTCTATTTTTTGTACTACTTTATTTCTATATTTGTTTTAAAAATTTATAACTTTACTTATTATCTGAAAATTTCAATTCGAGTTATGCTTATATGTAATCTGTATTACATTTATTTAATATAGAAAATTCTCTGATTGACTGGCGGATCGTCAATTAAATATTTTATATTAAGTTGCAGTATTAATCAATATTTTTGTATTTATTAAAAGACAAATTATTTGGTTGAACTTTTTTTTTTATATATTTTTAATAGAAATTTTCTTGGAAAAACAGAAATAAACTTGAAAGATATCAGATAAGTGACAACCAATTCTTTAAAATTGAATGCAGGCATTTTTGCTTTTGTTTTTTTGTTTCACTAAAAAATTCTTTTCTATTTCAGAAATTTCTATCAGTTTAATGAGCCAAGAACTATTCATTTATTGTCTAGTCAGAATATTCTAATGTATAGATCAATTTTAATAGCAAAGTAATATTTAATGAACAGTAAAATAATATTTAATAGATATAAAATATTTTGCATACTTACTACCATAACACTTATTATTTGTCATGTCTATATATTCATTCTTATCTATATTTATTATATTATCATCTGTATCATCATACACATCATATTTTCATCTCATTTTTTACTTGATAACTTATCAATCTTATTTATCTAGTCTCTAACAATTGTCTGTAAACAGTGTGATATTTTATTGTCTTTGCTACTATTAGGGTTTAGGATGAGTCTAGTTGATTCAAAGGATTTAATCAGAACTTCTTTACTGATTTCCTTCAATTAAGTTAATTTGTAAATTAGAATTTTGCATAATTATAACTTTGAATATACAATAATTTAATATAACTTTTTATAATTTAAATACCACAATGAAGCTACAATCAAATTAGTAAAAGATAAGCCAATGCAATTATACCTTTCATGTTTGCAAAACCTATTCACAAACGAGCTTATATAGTGCTTTTTTGTGATTGCTACTTTTGGTAAAGTCTTTTTTTCCCTTTTCCATCTATTCTTCCTATTATTTTCGTATACTACTTTTAAACAGCTTATTTACTAAGACATCAAGTAGTTGTAAAACACTAGTTGTCCCACCAGGTATCTCTAAAACATCTAAACTCTTAAGATTCAATGCTTTAATGATATCTTTACGTATATGGCTATAATGACGGTCAACAAAAATTACACCTTTATTTTTAAAAAAACCATTTGGTTGTGCTCTAATAACTTGTAAAATATAGGTAGAAACTATCAAATTTCCTTTTATGTTTGCATAGGATGTCATTGCTACTACAATATCTTGTGAAAACCTTTGGTTTGTTTTTAAGTTTAAAAATTACAGTTGGTGAAAGCTTATTACCAGAAGCCATATAATCTAGAACTACAGTAAATCATACTTTATCACTTCCTGTAGTTTTAATAGACACTTTGCAAACACCTTTAAACTCAATTGTTGAATTTCTTGGCATGTTAAACCACATGAGTGTTTCATCAAAAAAAATAATATAATTTTTTTCAAAATTTTAAGTCTTTTCACATGCAGTTTTAAAAAAATTCTTAATAATTAAGGGCATTTTCTCTGGAAACTTCTGTGCAATTTGTGTGCGAACCCGTTTTACCAGGTTGTGTTAATTTTTAAAACATATGACTTAGCTATGCAAAAACTTAGCATTTTCAAAACCAAGGGTTTGTCCTAACTTTTTGGCTTTGTTCCTAATCATAAATGTTATAACAGCTTGCTTTTCTTCCTTTCTTTGTTTTATATAATCCAATAATTCATTTTCTAGTACAGAGTACTTGGCTTTTTGGCTGTGACCTTTGAGAGCTTGTATTTGCTCTTTGTTTTTGACAGGTTCGAGGTTTTCTTTTTGCTTTTTCCATTCCTAAACTTGTTTTCTATTAATATTATAAAATTTTGCAGCACCACAATTAGAGATGTTTTCTGCATGTTTAAACACAGTAGTATAGCTTTGATTTTTGCATTCTAAATCTATATTTATTATAAGAGATTCATTCATGTAAATAAAAAGTAAATTACGCTTATATATTTAGAGATTGGTGTTACAGATGAAGAAAAAAAAAAAAAGTACTAATTCTCCAAATCAATACAAGTAAGTTTAGCATTTTTTTTTTCCTTGAAAAAAAACATATATAGAGGATTTTATTTTATAGTTTAAAAAAAAAAGTTGATTTCAATATGCGAATAAAACTTTTTATTGAAAATAAATATAAAATATGAACAGAGCCAGTATTAAATATAAATTGGTGCAATAAAAGAATATGTATTTTAATATAAATTGGTGCAATAAAAAACAGCATTTTAATAATAAGTCTGTATAAACAGAAATTATATATTTTTTTTATTTTTTTTATTTTATATTTTTTTTTTATTTTTTTTATTTTATATTTTTTTTTATTTTATATTTTTTTTTATTTTATATTTTTTTTATTTTATATTTTTTTTTATTTTATATATTTTTTTATTTTATATTTTTTTTTATTTTATTTTATTTTATATTTTTTTTTTATTTTATATATTTTTTTTATTATTTTGTTGTTTTTATAAGCGATGTGTCTTGAAATTCTATTTTATTAGAGTAGGTAACTTTAATGTTTAGTGTTTCTAGAATAGAAGTCTTTTCTTAAGTGAAGGTCATTTAATAGATGAATCAAATAATATATCTGAATTGTGGTCTATTTATTGAAATTTTTTTATTATTAAAAAAAGTACCAATATGCAGATGCTGTTAAAAAAAAGATATATTTAGCTATAACTTGTTATACAGTACTACTTGGCTATTGTTGGGCATATGTATATATATATGTATATATGTATCTATATCTGATATTGTGTTAATAAAAATTATGCACAATCAACAAATATTGCTTATGAGCATTATTTTTAACAAATCCAAATTCAAAAAATCAACTTACATATTTGAAATAACACCCATACATGTACCTGAAATAGCACGCACATAGTCAAAATAGTATCTCTGTTCACTATTTTGAGAATTTACAATAATTTTTCATATAAGCCTATGTTGGAATTGTATTAAAAGATACAATAGGCCACTTACCTGATATTACACAAGGTGACAATCTGCTAAAAATATATAGCTGCAACTAATCAAATATTAATTCTAACTCTAATTCTATATAATGTCTTTTGTTAATTAAAGAAATAACTTTTGAAAATTAAGTGACAACCTTTAAATCATTGTAATTTAAAAAAAAAAAATTAAATTGATTTATAACAAAGCATTAAATTTTTTGGATTTTTTTGTGATAGATAATTATTGGGATTATCTGTTATAGGAATTTGAAAAATATAAATTTATAACTATTACAACTATATCACCAGACACTAAATATACAATGAATATATAGGAGGTCAAAAGTAAAAACTACCCAAATTGTTTTTAGTAAGTTTTTTTAAAAATTTAAATTAAAATATCTTAATAACTATTAAACCAAATTTATTAAATTTTTTTTATTTTAATTCTATAAATATATAGAATTAAAATAAAAAATTTTTATCAAATTTGGTTTAATAGTTGTTGAAATATTTTAATTTGAAGTTTAAAAAAATTTACTTAGAAACAATTTGGGTAGTTTCTACTTTTGACTACTCATATACTGGACAATCTAGTGTTTAGTAAAAAAGCATTGGACATATAGATTGCCCAACTCTGTGTATAATATATGTTTTTTATATACAAGTTACTCTTGATATAAGAAATCTTTGATATAAGAAACTCAATATAAAAAAGATTTTGTAAATCTCAATTAAAAATTTTATAAAAAAAGCTTTGATATAAGAAAATCTCAATATAATAAAGAATTTGACTGGACCTGGCAGCTTATATCAAGATTCACTTGTAAATTTTTTATATATCTTGAAAATTACTATAATTTTGTATAAATTTTTGTAAAAGTTTCTGAAGTTAAAATTATATATAATTTTTAGTATGTGAATAGTATTGGCCAAAGCTTCGTAAAGCTGACACATAAAGTTTAGTAATAGTGACAAAACTTTTGTGCCATTGCACTATTTAACTGTTAATATAAAAGTTATACAATATGTATATATATCCAATTTTATTGAATCTATTATGCAAAAATTATTAGAAATTATAATAATAAAATAAAATTTTTTACAGCTATTTTCATAATTTCTAAAATATCTGATAAAAATTAGCTAAATGATTTTTAGCTAATTTGATTAAGTTTGTAATTTCGGTATAATCTGTATAATAAAAACTATTTCTGTATTGTAATTTGTTTTACAGGTCATTGTAACAATAATGTCAATATTATTAAATTTTCATTCGAATACTTATCCATCATGTCAATATTCTTAACAAGAAATATTAGACTTTTATAATATACATATAGTATGAGATCCTGTATATAAATAAAATATTTATTTTATTTATATATAAAAGTTGTTTCGTAGCTCTTCAAATTGTTATAAGACTAATTTTATATCTAACTAGAGTTTCATCTCTGATTTTAAAATATCTTGTATCATTCATGTCAGTAAACATGGCTCTTTTAAAAGTGATAGAAGCTTTTCAATACATCTATATCTTTGAAAATACTTGAGAATTCAACTTATAAAAGACATGCTAACACCTAAGTGTTTGGTTTTCTAATTTTTTTTTCAATTATTTTCCAGTGAAGATGCCTTGAAAAAATCATATTTTTGTATTAAACTAGAAATATAAGATTTATATTTTAATTAAATTACACATATATATCAATTTTATTGAATCTATTTTGCTGAAATCACATAATCAAATTGGCTGAAAAATTATTTGGTAAAATTTTTCTTACCTGCCCACTTGATGAAAATTAGCTGAATGATTTTTTAGTCGATTCAGTCAAGTTTGTAATTTCGGCATAAAAGATTTAATAAAATTACATAATTGTACCTGTGTATGTACATGCTTAACTTTTATATTAACAGTTAAATAGTGCATTTTATGTGCCGGCTCTACAAAAGTTCTGACCAATACTATTTACATACTAAAAATCCTCAAAAACTTCTAGCCATATATATATATGTGAAAGATATATATGAAAACTATTATATTTGATCTACAGATAATTTTATTATTATAAATGTTGATGCATTTAATATTATTAAATTTTTAGTTGAATGTTTGGTATGCTAAAACTTATAGAAAAAGCTAAATACAGTACACCCTTCCAAAACTGATCTTGTCAAAACCGATAACCTGCTATAACTGATAAAAAATTGATCCACCATGTCTGTTCCATAATTAAAACCTGATAACCTGCCATTTCTGATAACCGATATCTAAAAGACCAAATATCTATAAGATATCGGTTTTGACAGGTAGTATAAATCGATTTGATTGGCTAAAATCGGATTTTGTACAACAGATTATATATAAGATATATAATCCAGCCAATTATATTTATTTATGATCATGTGACAGCAGGCCATTGGTATTTTAACCCAATTTTTAAATCTGATAACCTCTCAAAACTGCTACAAAAGCTGTCTACCATGCGTATCAGATTTGAAAGGACGTACTATAAAGTCAAGAAATATAAAAAGACTCCAGATATGTATAAAATAGATATTTATAATAAACATATTACACAAGATATGGTCAAGAATTTTTGTCAACTATTTAAAAATATGATTCAAAATTCTATTTAAAAAATCTTGATTTTATTATAATGACATACTAACATCTAAGTGTTTGCAATTTTCAAAATAATAAGCTTTTTAAAAAAATAGTGTTCAATTATTCACTAGTGAATATGTTTTGAAAGCACCATGTTTCTGTATTTAATTTGAAATATTGGTATAATATATATTATTTATTTCTTGGGAGCTTGAAATTACAACAGAGGTTCCTAATAATTATAGAATACAGATAGCCCAAAGGCCCATCTGCATTATATAATCATTGTGAAATCCTCTGTTGTAATTTTAAACTCTTCATAAGAAATAAATAAAAAATCTCTTGCTTTATATTATTCATAACTACTTTTATTATAGTTTTCACATGACTAAGAATCTTCTCACAAAAGATTCCCAGGCATACAGAAAATTATAATGAAAGTGGTTATGAATAACAAATAGTAAAGCAGAAGATTAAAATTAAAATATACTGAAATTTATATATATATATTAGATATTTGTGAAGACTGTACTTGTTCGACTTGTTCCATTTTATTTAAATATTATTAATTTGAAATCGAATCAAAGAAAGTTATTTCAATTTGAATTCGCAAGAATTTTTT